TGTAACAGCCATCCTAAATCACCTTCACCGGCTCCATAAAGCAGGATGACTGAGAATCTTTATCTGCAAAATCTATACATTTGATTTTATACATCAAGACTCATAATAATTGTTAAACTATTTGTTTTTAATCTACATGGAGCACAAATTGTCCAGTTGTTCCTAACAAAGACAGAAGAATTACTAGAAAACACGAAAGTATAATAGTTTTATTAAACCTCCTCCATGCTGAGGGCCCAATCAGGTACCACAGGCTCTGGCTGCAGTACCAAGTACCTCCACAGGATGGCGACAGTTAGACTTTAGGGCGCATGTTACCTTCCTGAGACCAAGAAGAAGAGCATGTTCAGTGTGTTGTTCTCTGAACTGAACTCGGCGGTGTTTAGTGTCATCATATTCAGGTATTTTTACGGTGTTATTCTCTCTAACCGGAGCGGAAGCAGCAGTAGCCTCGAGTGAACTGGCGGACCGACCCGCAGCGCGTCTCTGCGGGACAACATGTACCGCGGACGGCCCGAGTTTAGAGACTACCCGCCTCCCCATAGGCCTCATCCGTCAGCGGGCTACCGGGATGAGCGGCCCAGACCAAGACCTCCGTACCACCAGGACTACCCGGACTACCGGGACCACGCAGCCCAGGACCCCTACCGCCGCAGGTACTCCTCCCCCGGCTCCGGAGGCCACCGCGGCGGGGATTTCTGGAGCGGAGCTTCGCCTCTTGAGGTGAGTCAGGCTGGGTCCAAATGAAGCCGAATGACCCAGAAACCTTGAACCATCCATCCAGGAAAGAGTCCAGCTCCATACTGGTCCAGAACCCGGAACACTGAACAATGTTTGGTTCTGCGGGTTTCTGATCCAGTTCTCAGCTTCCAGCCTGAGCTGCAGACCAGACTCCATTCAAAGATGGACAGATTTAACCCTGGAGCTGCTGGTCTGTGGCCCTGCTGCAAAGAGTGGGTCATTTCTAGACAGAATGGTTCTAGATCACTGTTCCAGAAAACACACCATGGAACAGGAAGTCTAGATGGACCCAGAGGTTCGGTTTATTAATGATTTTGTGTCTCCTGCAGAGATCTCCGTCCCACCGAAGACCGACCCACATGGACCACAATGAGCTGGTTCACCATGGCTCTGTCCCCGCTCCGCTCCACCATGAAAGGTAACCAGAGACACACCGCAGAACGAGTCAGAGGTTCTGGAGTCAGAGGTTCTGCATTCAGAGGTTCTGCATTCAGAGGTTCTGGAGTCAGAGGTTCTGCATTCAGAGGTTCTGGAGTCAGAGGTTCTGGAGTCAGAGGTTCTGGATTCAGAGGTTCTG